GCTGGTCCCCACTGTGATTATCACAGGAAGACTTGTCTTCCTTTTTGTATATCGGGATAATCAATGACTTACACCAACCCAACGGGACTTCCTCTGATTTACAGACACTGCCTAATACCTCAGTTAATGCAGACAGAAAACTTAAACACTTCCGGAGTCATTCCATCAGGTTCCGTTGCTTTGCCTTGTTTCAGACTAGTGACAGCTTTAGTGATCTCAGTTAGGGACTGAGGATCTGTGTTTATATGCCATTCAGGGAGGTGTTGGACACTGAGTAAGTTGAGAGTGGCTGTAGGCCAGTTAAACTGCCCTTGAAAATATTCCTTATGCGTTTACCTGAAATGTTTACTGTTAGTTGATCAAAAGCAATCGACTGGGCACCTCGTCAGTTAGACGTATCTGCAACCTCGAAGGCGTAGGCGTAACATACGACTATCACCCAAGGGACGTTTATACTGCTAAGCAGTTCGCTCCGTCCTTCTCTATGGCTCTGAAACATGGCCAATACGAGTTGAAAACATGAAAAGGTTGACTGTTTTTCATCATAGATGTCTACGATCTCTTTCTCACGTTAGGTGGTATAATAAGGTAAGTAATGTTGACGTTAGGCGTAGAGTGTTGGGCAAAGAGGGAAAATCAATCGAAGAGGCTATAAAGTTACAAAGATTGAGATGGCTAGGTCACGTGCTGCGCATGCCTAACCATCGCCTCCCCCGACGGACGGACATTACTAGTTGATATAGGTGCAGGTTGGAAAAGAGTAAGTGGTGGCCAAACAAAAACATGGCATCAATCAATCCATGAAATCCCTGACAGTTAAACTGAGTCAGGTAGGGAGGGAGATGCAGACTTCCTGGTTTGGGCCCGCCCTCGGGGCTCTAAGAATCAATGGCTGGAGACAGACAATAGGTGACATGTCTCAAAATCGTTGTCAATGGCTTACGTAGATGTATTTAGTCTCTGTAATCTTTCATATTCCTTTCTACCATTACTCATTCTGTTTCACTCTTATACTTGTCAAAACTCTATTGATTCTCTTCATCACTCATTTTCTTGTCTACCTTTGTGTGCTATTTGGAAGGTGGCAACTGGAACTGCTGCACTTCAGTGCCAAGTTCTATGTTGAATCCAGCAGTACAGATCTTGGAGTGGTTTCTTGATGTTGTTAATCAACTTGGTTTTCAGACCTTTAGATGGTGGTTAATCAATAATCTGGTTTTGATTCACAACTTCAACTTGACACATTATACACAAATACGCACACATGCATACATACATACATCAGTGCAATATGTTAGTGTAATCTTTTTTGTATTCATTTCTATGCAGTATTTTCATTTTCAAAGGTATCTTCATGGGCTTAATCATCACATATCATTGTTGTGTTAACGTGATTTATTATTCGAAAGTTATTCATTCACCAGGTTAATAATTCACTAGTTTCTCATTTAATATAAATTTCAATAATACCAAGTTATTAACCAATTTTGACAACTTTGATACGTATGTGTATATATACAAATACACATATACAACAAGTGTAGGTTAACACTCTTTTCTTTAGTATAACGTATAGGTATTATATATAGTTTATATTATACACAATGATCATTTGTTTTCTTGTGTCAAATGCATCTTTTATTCGCCAATTCTTCTTATTCATCCTGATTTATGGTGTCATTGTATAGTCGCATATTTGTGTGTCTCTTTGTGTTTGTGTGTTTGACTATTAGCGTCTCTAATAATTGGGTTTTCGCCTACCTTTTGTATGTATTTCGTTCGACTGAATTCTATCTCTATCTATAGGACTGACTTGAAACATTGTCATCATATGAGTTATACCTGTGTGTATGTGTGTGTGTGACCTACATTCATTGCTTTTTATAATTTTGACTCTGAAGTTAGTGTTTTTTTTTTAGGCAGTATAACATTACTTATGCGTCGGTGGCACAGAGGTAGAATGCTCGCCACCCACGCCATAGGTGGTTCGGGGTTCGATCCTCGATCGGTACACTCCCTTACCTCACTAAGCCATTAATAAGACTGGTAAACAGGGAAGGTTGAGCATGAGGCTAACAACCCCACCTCCATCCCGTAAGAATAAACACTACTGCTACCGAAACTACAAGCCTCTAGCTTGAAGCCCTACGTTCCAACAGGAACGTAAAGGAATAAAAAAATAACATTACATTATTTTGTGTATGCCAATAGAGTGAAACTTACTATTATTATTAGTGTTAGATAAGGAGGGTTATTCCCAATCAAAGAGGTTTTGAATCTACATCAGTTAAAGTGGCTAGGGCACGTGATCCCAATTCCCTCGATCTACAGTGTTAACTGCCATTATTTTTATTATTGTATCCTTTAATTCCTAGAGGAACATACGGCTTCAGCCGTGCGTCTCCATTGCGTTCGGTTCTCTGCTAGAGTTTTCACCTGGCTCCAGGTCTGCCCAAACAATTTCATTTTCTCTTCACATGACCTCCTCCAAGTCACCCACCCTCGCACTGACGACCAACTCGCCACTTCCCTTTCGGGTTCCACTCGAGCAATGGCTTGTCTAGTTTGTTTGAGATGCTCTTTATGAGGTGCAGTGCAAGTCTCTGATCCGTATAGTAGCAGTGACTGACTTCACATTGGAGTTGAAAATCCGGATCTTATTTTTGATGCTGAGTGCTTTTGACCTCCATACAGACTTGAGAGTAGTGAAAGCTTGTCTTGCTTTTCCGATTCTTGCTTTGATATCCTCGTCAATTCCGCCGGCCTGTAGTTGAAACGATGCTTCCCAGGTAGGTAGGTGAAGGAGGTTGTTACTTTCAGGTTCCTTCCATTTATGCTGGCTGATTGTTGTCTGTTGTTGTTGTTGCTGTTGGTGGTGGTGTTGTTGGCCAGGAATCTTCACCACCTCTGTTTTCTCTATGTTCACCTGAAGTCCTATCTTCTCTGGATGCTTCTTCTATCGTCAACTTGTTGCTTTTCGCTTGCATATCTTCCAGTTTGTGGGAAATCAGACATATATTATCGGCGAAGTCCAGATCCTCCAAGTTTTTTGTGTGAGTCCATTTTATGCCTGTTTCCTCATTGCTCGCTGTCTGTCGGATTATCCAATCTACTGCAATCAGGAAAATCATTGGCGATAGTATGGCAGTGTTAACTGCCATAGGATTTGTCAAACTAAAATTTGACATCAATCCATGAAGTGTTTGACAGTTGATTTTAGCCGCCTAGGGAAGTTTAGGTATACTCCGTAGTTACAGTCCTTAGGATGCTAAGAAATAATAAGTTGAGTCTATTTTGTAATGTGGATCAAAATCGTTCTCAATCGCGCAGATGAGATCTCTCATATACATCATAACCTTTCTGGTACTACATTTCTGCACACTAGGGTTCTTTTGAATCTCTTTTGTCTACCTCTCTGTGCTACATGGGGTGTGGCAACTTGAACTTCAGCACTTCTGTGCAAAGTTCTATATTGAAACTCTCAACCTGTCAGTCAGTCAGTCATTCTGTGCATTCTGAGTGGGGCACAGAGCTCCATCAGGTTCACTACCATCACTTGACTTCCATATCAACCTTTGATGCGTCAACTTGTTTAACGTTCGTGTTCTGCACGGTGGCCTGATGTATGACGTCAATTGCATGTCTTCTCATTGTATGTGTATCCTTTCCGTTTCCCTACAGCCTATTTGTTGGAATATAGAGATTGTTGGCTGGTGCTCTGCACTCCCGGAGTTCTTTGTTGCTTGCTTATCCATTCTGACTGGCTATTTGATCATCAGTATTAAGTGAAGAAAGCTGTTAGGCAGAGGAGCCTCAGATAGCCTGTTGGAAATGCTTTTGTTGACATGGGTGCCTCAAAGTCTCTGAACACCATATAAAGGAACCCTGTGACCAACTTGATATTATTGTTGGAAATTCGAATCTACTTACTTGACCTGAGCGAGCTAGTGTTGTAGATCTTCACACTTATTTTAGGCTACATGGACACGGCTGTCTTACTTTCCTAGTCACAGAAAGTCCCGACCGAAAGCTGCTACCTTGACGTGGTGATCGGGCTTGAACACCGCAATGACCCAACAAGCTATACTGGCTGAGACTTATGTCGCTTGAGGTCCTACCATGCCAGAAAGGTTGTTTGGATAGCGGTTAGACAAAAAGCAGTTACCCAACCCAATGCTATGACTCAAAGTAAATCACAAAATATCATGCCGGATCGGTCGGGGCCCGGATTTACAACGACCGCACTTCCTGCTGCCGTGTCGCAGAGCAGAAGTGATAAATATGCTACTGAGACACACCAAATGAAAAACAACAAACAAAAACAGGCCGTGTGTGACCGGCCTCAAGCAGTTGTCCCCTGGGCTCTGCGGTCACGCAACCAACTTCCACGGTGTGGGCAGCCGGGAAGTAACAATCGCCCTCACAATCTGAAGTCACAGAGAGTGCTACTGGATAGATTGCTTTGTAAATGGCATGGGTGTTCTATGATGATTCCTTGACGTTCTAGATCTAGAGCCTCCCGTTGATATCTACATTCGTCGCACAGATGCGTTGAAATGTTTGCAAACGATGCGCCTCCTCCTCAGATCCTTTTTCTCCTGATAATCCAGTTAACAGTTTTGAGAAAAAAACAGTGTAGCTCTATTTCTTGCAAATTTCAGTGCTTCAATCTAATCTCAATTTGCCTATTTACCCACTCTGATTAGTGTTTTGTTTAATGAGGTTCTATTGAGAGAGAGATTAGTTTATTAAAAGCTTTTCAGCAGCAATCTTGTCGATTATCTATCTTTCAATTGATAAGTTGTGTAGGGAGGGGTACTGTAGGTGAAGTGAATAGTTGAATAGTGGTGGTGATGAGTAGTGCTGCACTAACTAACACTAGACAAAGAAGAAAAAAAGTAACGCATAAAGTGCTTTTCATCATGTGACTTTACTTTACTTACTTTATTGTCACTATCCTAACACAATGCACTCATGTCCTCTTCTTCTATCTTACACAGACGTTATACTTACTACTACGTGGGAATAGTGCACACAATGAATTCTGTGATCGTCTTTTATCCAGTATGCGTTTTCATCAATTCATCTTGGAACGTGGTCCACCATTTCGTGTTTGTGATTTATTCGATGAAGAGTACAACTTGTATGCTGATAGTTATTCACTAGGTGGTGATAGTACACTGGCAATGAATGATAAAGAACATGATTATGATATGCTGATGAATAATCATCAATCTGTGTTAACTGGTGGTGGTGGTGGTGGATTATCCCCAGTCACTTCTAGTCTACACTTGATTGAACGATTGAGTACAAAATTGTTGGATAATGTAAGTTGTTGTGATTATCTGTTATTGTTGTTGTTGTTTTTTTTACTTGTTTGCATTTGGGGACTTGCGTGTTTTTGATTATATTACTTTTCACTAATTGTACAATCGTCACCTTGAGCTGCAATCTCCGAATGTTTGGAATGCGATTCGCCCCCTCTGTTAAATGTAAGATGCTACGGGACTGGACTACATTGACTCCTAGCTTAGAAATAGGGAGTGAAGTGATAAAGCACGTTGATTGCTTCACTTACTTGGGAAGTTGCATCAGCCAATGCCAACGGGTTGATCTCTGACGAAATCTCATTATGGATACAGAAGGCTCGTTTGGCATATGCCAGTTTACGCCGTCTTTGTCATAGACGTGATATCCGGCTGTCGACCAACGGATGTGTGTACTGCTCAACAGTCTGCTCCGTCCTCCTTTATGGCTGTGAGACCTGGCCATTGGGAGTGGAAGACATGAAAAGTCCTGCTAGTTGTCTTTGATCATAGGTATCTGCGTTCTATCTCCCGTGTTAAGTGGTATAATAGAATGAGCAATATTGAGGTTTAGGCGTTGGTCGAGTGCTAGGTAAGGAAGGGGAAATCAATGGACGATGCTGGGAAATTACATCGATTGAGATAGTTAGGACATGTGTTACTTATGCCTAGTCGTCAGTTGCTTTCTTCCATGGGCAATGTTAACTGACATAGGATCAGGTTGGAAAAGAGTTAGCTAGTGGTGGTGAAACGAAAACATAGCTGTATAAGTCAATGAAATCCACAACAGTTAGTTTAAGTTAGCCACGTAGGAAGGTATAGACTTCCTGGTTGGGGTCCTCGAGACGGTAAAAACTAATGGGTGGAGACAATTGGTGATATGGCTCAAAATCGTTCTCAATGGCTGGCGCAGATGCATCCACTGCTGGTGGCTTATACTATCTAATAGAACTATATGGTTCTTCGATAATACCATTCTTTTTGCTTCACATCTCTGTTTATTATCTCTGTTTTGCATTTCCTTTTAATTTTTTCTCTTGCTTTTTGTGCTACATTGAGGGAGTGTGGCAACTCGAACTGCTGCACATCTGTGCAAAGTCCTACATTGGAACCAGTCTGTCAGTCACAATCATCAGACTGCATTGCAGTTTTGTCAGATTGTGATCTACAATGTAAAACTCAGGAAATCTTTTAAGTGAACACAGGAATAAGACAAAAGACTACTTTCTATTATCAAGGATATTCTTGATGGTGGTTGGTGGACTGGATTTTATGGCACACCGCGTGTATGAGAAAGAGGTGAGAAGACAATAGTATGTTTGACCAATAAGATGACTCGAGAAGATTTGAAGTTTTCGGACGATTTATGTCTAATGTTCACGCAAACTCGAAGATCTGTAGGTGGGAACCAGAAAATTGTCAGAAGAGACTGAAATTGAAGACAGGACTTCAAGGGAACATAAAGAAGAGAGAGATGTTCAAAACGACCAACCAACCAACAACGGGGTCATTCACTATCAACGGAAGAAATTTGAGAGAGATCACTTCTCCCACTTATTTGCGCCGTTTTAAGTAAAGGCGAAGGCAAGGATTAAGATGTCAAAGAAAGTCAGGCAGGACCATAAAAGCAAGATGAATATTCATTGCTTTGAAATCAGTGTGTGGAAATCTGCTGCAATTGGGCATAAAGAACAAGATTCAGATTTTCGACCCTAATGGCAAATCAATGAGTGCTTGTGTATATATCGTTTAGAGACTTGATGCACGTATCACGAAAAGACAGCAGCAGACTTTCATGAACAGCTGACTGCTCTCTAAACTGAAGATGAGATGCCTAAGCAAAATAAATTAGCAACAAAAAAAACTCTGGTAACGTACCAGTCAAGATCTTATTAGCTTGAAGAAATTTCAGAAGGAAATTTAGACAAAGCAACAACCTGATCGATCACACACTGACTTGTCATAGAAATATATATACAAAATTAATAAAGGGTTAAGAGATGAAGAAATATACTTAGATCAAGTTAAAAGGACATATTGAAGGTCAAAATAACATTGAAGACCACTAAACCAGAGGTTATAGTACATCTGCTACAGTATCAAAACAAAGTTTACCAAGTAAGGTTAAGTGTGATGACGAATTCTTGCTTTGAACGCATGAAGGTGGTTTAAACTTCCTAATTGCCAGCCAGGGCTTCCGCGAACCTTAGGATACGCCCCTATACACACGTTTTATGGATGGATAGCCTTAAAAGATGTGTTAACATCAATTTTATGTCCTGTCTCTGTAAAATGTTTCGCAATAGAGGAGCTAGGTCTCCTGTTCTCACGATTAACGGGTTCTGGGGATTCTATTTGCTTCTGGAGCCATTTAGGAATATGCTCTGAAGCCAGTCCTTACTTGCAGAGATCGATGAGTCCTCCCTATGTATGTGTGTCCACACGTACATTCAAATTGGTAAATACAGTGGGATGTGACATCATTTTTCGCATGTTCAAAGGGCTTAGATAGATATATTGGCTTTACATTCTCAATTATTATGATATTAGCTGCATAAAAAGTCTTTTTAACAGCAGCATTCAATCTTTGTCTAGTTATCTAGCTGCTATGATGCTCCATATAGAAGGAAACTGAGATGAATCGGACACATACTGCGATGACTTTTGAGTGACATCGAGCGGTAGGCCCTTGGGTGAAGGCCTAATGAGAAACACGGTGATTTGGGTGTCCGAAGGTGACATGTAGGTGGGAGATCGTGTGATTTTATTTTGTTTATTTAAAACACAAAACGTGGTACATTATGACAACGAGAAGACGCACCACACAATAATAATAAAACAACAATATAGAAAGAAAGTAGGCAGAAAATTAATAAAGGACTTCATCCACAAAGGAAGCAGCTGTATTTAACAAGATCAAGCAGCATTTGTCGACTTGTTGTCAGAAAGGAAAGAAAGAGGGAAATTGTAGCACGTTCGCCATTGATTGAGTTTATTAGCCATATCCGATAGCGTTTTGAGCCACCGATTCGAGCTATCTTTCAGATCTTAATCAGGAAGTCGTGACTAACTAACCGCTGACGCTAACCTAACATAAATGTCCTTCGTCCCACGACACCAAGTCATGCGCCAATCACCTCTCCGCTTTTCCCATCCTGTCCCAAACAGAGACCTGTACGAAAGCCTCAAGGATGACATTCTTAGCACATGTCGAAGCCACCGAAGTCGGTGATTCCAGATGACGACACTCAATAAATGATGAGCTCCACTGTCTTCAAACACATGCTGTCGGACTTCAGAATTACTCTTACGATGAGGACATCAAACATAGGCAATTCTATGGAAACAGAGATGATCGAATACACAGAGTTGCCTCATATCCTCGACTAGGAGAGCCAGATTTCACAGGCGTAGAGCAAGAGACTGAGCGCACGGAAGCGTTGTAAACCCGATCTTTGACAGCCAGACTGACTTCGTGACGGCTCCACACATTTCAACGTATGCCACTCTAGCTATCATGATATTATTGGAAATCTCGTCTGCCACACCTCCGCCAGCACTCACATGACTACCCAGATACATGAACTGATGGACAACTTCAGGCGGTTCACCTGCAATGGTGAGTACACTAGATATCGTGAAGGGAAGATTAGAGCTTATGCAAGTTCGTGAATCTGACTGGGGAGGAGAGGATGAAGTAGGGCCCCATGTTCCACTCAGAACTCAACGTAATAGTAATCAATTTTACTTATCATTACCTCTGTCAACAATCTGCAAGTAAATATATTCCTCTGTGTACTGATATTTCACATCGTGTATTTAAAAGAAAAAAAAACTTTCAATGATTAGCATTTCATTATTCTGTTTTAATATTGATCACAATTTTCTGGAGGTTAGTTAGTTAGTTAAAGATTGACTGAGTTTCTTTATAGTGTTGCAGACATATCATCAGCATCGATTTTGTCTCATACCAACAAAAAAGAGAAGTTAGTCAACCAATCACATGAAGACAAATTTTGTTTGTTTTATATATTACTGATGAATAATGACGAATAAAACATGTGATGATGATTAACTTTAGCTAACACACACACACATATGACTGATCACATTCACGCTTAAGATTAACACCATCAAAGGTGATTGAAACTGATTTTCAAAAAAGTTATTTATAGTTCATTGAGTTGTTACAGCATAATAGTATTCTGTAACTGACGATGTTAAACTTTTGAGACACAACAGGCGTGTAAACGCATCGATAACCGTGGAACGCTTAGTCAGATCAAAGCAGTGAAACCAGATAAATAACACTATACTTTATGATGAAGATTCCTGGACAAGAACAACAACAACAGACAACGATCAGCATACATGGAAGGAACCTGAAAGAAACAACCTCCTTTACCTACCCGCCGACCTGGGAAGCATCGTTTCAACTACAGGCAGACGGAACTGACGAGGATATCAAATCAGAGAGGATAGGAAAAGCAAGGCAAGCTTTCACTACTCTCAAGTCTGTGTGGAGGTCAACAGCACTCAACATAAAAATGAGAATAAGATCCGGATTTTCATCTCCAATGTGAAGTCAGTGCTACTCACTATACGGATGGATCAGAGACTTGCACTGCGCGTCATAAAGAGCATCTCAAACAAACTACAGACCTTCATTAACAGTTGTCATCGCTCAATACTCAAGATCAGATGGCTGGCCAGGAAAGATCAGCAACAGAGATCCCTGGCAATGAGCGAACCAACCCAGCAGGAACCGATTGTGAAAGAAATAGGCAGGAAGAAATGGAGATGGATTGGCCATATTCTGAGGAAACCATCAAGTGACATCACTAGACAAGCAGTTGCTCGAGTGGATCCCGAAAGGGAAGTGGCGAGTTGGTCGTCAGTGCGAGGGTGACTTGGAGGAGGTCATGTGAAGAGGAGATGAAAGCGTGTGGGCAGACATGGAGCCAGGTGGAGACTCTAGCAGAGAACCGAACGTAATGGAGACGCACGGCTGAAGCCCTATGTTCCTCTAGGAATTAAAGGAAAAAAATAATAATTATGAAGGAAAGTGTTCAAGGAAGTGTAATGCTATTAAACAGGTTATCTGGTTAATGTTAGGTTAGGTTTTCGCAAGGAAAAGATTAGGGATAGATTAGGGCTATTATTATCACTGTTATTACTATTCCCTTGGGTTTTGAGTAAAACATTTGGGCTCTAACAATACATCTCCACTTTGTCCTATTCTCTGTAGTCCTCTTCAGTTTGCCACACGATTGCCCATAAGCTTCCACATGGTCTCCTCCAAATCACCCTCAGACCCACGCCTAACTCGTCATTTCCCACTAGGGTTTTACCCGAGGGCCTGGCGTACGATGTTACGCCGCGTGTGTCCGATATTTCCTTATTTCTGGCTAGCCATCCGATCTTCAGATGTTGATAAAAGTCTCCAGTCTGTTAGAAATCCTTTTCATGATGACACACAATGCAAGTTTCTGACCCATATAGGCGAAGTGACTGATTTAGTGTCAGCGTTGAAAATTCGAATCTTGTTGTTTATGCTGAGTGCAGAAGATTTCCAAACTGATTTAAAGAGTGATGAAGGTGTCCCTCACCTTTCCGATTCTGGTTTTGACATTTTCATCCGTGGCGTTGTCGTCTGTGGTTGATGAAACGATAAGTGAAGGAATTGGTTCTCGTCGCTGTTATTCTTGGTTGGTTGGTGATTTTCATCACAAGTCCGTTTTCTTCTGTCAACCTGTTTGGTTTCAAGTTGTAAGGTCCTCGAATTTTGAAACAATTTCTTGTTCCAAAGTCATCAATGTGTCTGCACCTCTTGGGTGTCTAAAGTTGGACTGTGTACCATATTACTCTCAGATACACATTGGGACGTGTATACCCAGTCTTCTAATATGTTTATTTGAAACTGAAAGGGAATGATTTAGCGCCTTTTTCCGGTGGTCGATTCGGAGATGTCTGTGATGATCGAGAATTCCCGCCTATTTCTTCACAATTACTCTCTCCAACACTTAAAAATTCTAATTTATTCCTTTTTTTAGGCTCTGCAGGTTGTATGTGTTGATCACGAACTGACTTCACTTAGACGGCTATTGAAAGTCAGGAGTGAAGATGGGTGGGGGTACTACTGGACAGCTGTTTTTCTTCTTCTAACTATCCCCTACACTTTCACTTTTGTTTGCTGTGACTTATATTCTTGAGATTTCCCCCCCCCTTTTTTGTAGGAATGTGGTGACCAGCCAGCAACACAAATCCTGCCCGATGAAGCTGTTGAAGCCCACAAACGTATTCATCAAACACCATTTCCTGTTTTAGATGCTAAACTCATCGATGAGTTAACAGTTCAGTATTCTCAAAAGAAAGTCAAGTAAGTTGGTGAAAACAAATTTAAAAAAATCTTTTATACTACTGTGATAATAACACTTTATGCCGTTTTATAATACTGTAGATTCTAGTTTTGAAATAAATAGGTGAAGATTTTTAGCTCAGGTGGATGTGATTGTGATTTGTATTTTCCCTGAGCTGGTCGTTTCATCTGCGAACGTTTCATTGTTTATCTAGACAACATCTTCAGCTCAAGCTTTAATATGAAGTGAGCTTACTCGATGTACTGTAAACATCACAGTGATCGAAATGGCCTCTCTTTCGATTCAGAATTTAAGAATATAGTAAATTCGCTGTGAAAAAAACACGGTATAAATTCTTTCATATAGAAGCACGTAGACAGTTATGCGCAGCAATTTTCATTGGGAAAATGTAGAGATTTTGAACAGTGGAAATACAAAGCTTGCTAAGGAATTTCTAGAAGTGTGGTACTCAGACGATGAATCAGCGATTAACAGACACATTGGTTTACAGAAGGCTGATTAATGAACAATGAGTATTCTTTTCGATAAATTCTTCATTAGGTCCAAGAGTTGATTTGTAAGGATTTGATTTGTTTTCCGACTTTGGCCACGGATTGACATCAGTTAGAGAACCATTGAAAAACACCTGGGAGTGCTGGACAGCTATTTCATCCTAGTTTGGGAATCATCGGCAGTACACGCCCACTGAGGTTCAGACCCGGGACCTTCTGATTGCAAGGCAAGCGCGTATACCACTCAACCACTGGGACCCGATTAAATGGCAACCTCATGAACTTTAACTTCTACTAATTCGTGATTTTAGCGTGACCACCAACCAATGTCATCAGTGGGAAGTCCATCCTCACTCCGGACTGGATGAACCTTACTGGTCACGACTTCACACCAGAAATCCAGGAAACTCCGTCCTGTAGCAAGTCACTAGCGAGCATCAGATTAATTTTCAATAGTTGGTTTGTAATGATTGGATTAGTTTTTCGAGTTTGACCGCGGGTTGGTGGTCTACCTAAAATCACTAACTGATAGAAGTTAGAATCCATGAGCTTGCAATTGAATCGGGTCCCAGTGGCTGAATGGTATGCGACCTTGCCTTGTAATCGGAAGGTCCTGAGTTCTAACCCTGGCAGTGGGTGCATAGTGCCGATGATTCCTAAAAAAACTAGGACGAGACAGCTATCCAGTAACTCCCAGCTGGTTTTCAATGGTTTTCTAACTGACATAAATCTGCTGTCAAACTCGAAAAAAGATTAGTGTTATTTTAGACAACATCAAACCAATAGTGTCAACAGATTAGATTTCAAAAGCACCAGTGAGATATATCAATTAATATAACGCTAAACTAAAGGGAATTAATACAGAATTTATGGATTTATAAGCTTGTCAGTAGACCAGGGTAGTAATAATGGTTGACTGAACCTACTTCTTTGGCACACAGAATTCCGGTTGATTTAAGCAAATTGAAATGACCTCTGCTGTTTGGAGTGTTCGGTATCTGGAGGCCTTTGATAATTTATTCGATACCCGATATAGGATAGATAGAGAAAGACTCTTCAATGCTAGCTAGCTTTGTGTCCTGTTTACACGAGGTGGTTCAACATATAACTGTTTTAACGGTTTCGACAACACTTATATTTATCCACACACACTGGTAGGTGTTAGCAAGCAGGAAAAATTAAGTTCCTAGAGCAGTTGCCATTAATAGATTCAACTAGGCGGGGGAGAGACTAGTCTATGTACTTCATCTTTCAGTTGAGGAATCACAACCGGTGGTCGTGTGGAAAGTATAATCTGCAGCTTTCCGGCATTAAGTGTTTTTTGGATCGAATTATTTTAACTTGTGGGTTATTATTTCATGTGGTAAAATCCCCTTTGGATTGTAGTCGTATATAAATAGAGAGAGGCTTCTTGTTAACAGATACAGAAGAACCAATGACAACAAAGGCCGTCAGGAGATACAATTATATCCAATATGTTCATTTCGTATTAAAGCTTGCTCTGAAAATGTTGTCTAGATGAACAATAAAACGTTCGCAATGAAATCAACTGGCTAGCTTAGGGAGAATACAGTCAAATCAAGATTCTAGCTTTATGGAAACTTTCTTTCACATACAGTAGTGGTGGTTTATCAATATTTTGTCTAACTTTTGGATGACATGTTTACGTTTGACATTGTTTTTGTGTCCAATAGATAAAATATGTATATAGAGGACTACTGTGGTGTAATTCTGTCTTTGTGTGCCTGCCTGCCTATGTGTGGTTGAGTGGTGGGTTGTCTGTGTTACTACTGGGTTTGTATACATTAATTCTGTATTTTTATGTCAACACTACACATATATACTATACTATACTATCTATAAGTATAAACAAACTTTGAGAATGAAATTTAGGACAATTCATTTTTGTCAAAAAATTTATGCAAACTTGTCAAGCAAAACATGCAGAATTGTGTGTGTGTGCTAATACAAAAATTGGTGTCAGTGTGTGTGTCTGTGTTATACGCACTAAGAGTCATCCAATCATCATCTTATGGTGATAGCACAAGTTTGACTCGTGTGTGTGTGTGTGTGTGTGACAGACACCAAAAAGCGAAGATTCAACCTGTTATTTGATTTTTGATATGTAAATAATTTGAGTAGTGTGGAGCAAATTAGGATAAGAGTTTGTTTGTCTTTTTTTATTCAACCTTGATGTTTATAATGATTTGGATGATAAGCTTGTGAACTTTATTCAAACTACTGTGTGACACATAAAGTTGTTTTTGTATAAGATGGTTGGAGTCAGTCGGTCACAGGAAGCCCTTTCTGGACTTAGGTTTCGTGCTAGTTGGCACTCACGAGTCATCAAGGCATATCTGCACTCTTCAAGGGACTCATTTCCCTTCTGAGATTTGTGGTTTGTCATATCCAATGAAACCTCATTATCTTTCGCATCTTCCTGGTCTTTCTTCCTCGTTCTTTCGAATCTCTTTTCTTACTTTTGTATCTCTTTGTGTGTGTGCGTGGATTGCGGCAACTGGGACTGCTACGGTTATGTGTAGAGTCAAATGTTGAAACCAGTCACTTCTTCAACACCGCTCAACAGTTATGCAGAAGGATATTGGGATGGATATGATATACGCCAGTGAGACATGCAGGTTACATTACACTCCATACTGTCGTATATGATCTGACGATTAATGTGGTGTTTTGTGGTGGATGTGGGGACTAGCAGTTGAGTGCACGACGAGAATTTCGTCTTATGTTTGAGGCTCACTAGCTGGATATACTTGCCTTCCAAGTGTGAGTAATAAATAGTATTACCCCCTGAGATTCGACCGCATCAGTCATCGTTTTAAACGCTAACATCATCAATCAACGGGAAGCGCAAAATTAACCTACAAAAAAATCATCATAGCATATTTGACCCATCATTTTTTGTTACTTATTATATTCCTCCCAGGGTTGTCATATTCCGTTCACAGTTCCATTAACATTCGAATTATCATTAATTCTCAGAAAATGTTGCTTGATATACCGCTTTTTAATGAGTAGGATACACTACAGACCACCTGTCGACCAACTATTCTACTGACTAGTGTGCTTACGCAAGGAGATACAAGTTATAGTGCATCGGAGGTTCGACTTACGATCGACGCACCCTTAAACCTCGCTTAGTTGGTAGTAAGCTCGGTAAAGAGAGGGAAGATTAGGTATAAGGAGCTAGCAGCAACCCCACAGTGTAAAACGACACCACTGCTATTGAAACTTCAAAACTGATGATTGAAGCCCACTTGTTCCACTTGGTGGAACCCATTGTGAAAAGGAAAAGGTCGGTCGGTCGGTCGGTTTTCGACATAGAACTTTGCACATATGTGCGGCAGTTCAAGTCGCCACAATCCATGTAGCACGCAAAGCAAGAGAAGAAAGTAGAAGAAATGCATAATATAGACAGTAAACAGAGGTGTGAGACAAAGGAATAGTAATAACGGAGAACAAAAGGAAAAGGATTCAGCCCACGCAATATTCAAAGCATAAATTAATCCCATTGTGTACATTAATTTTATTAGATGACTAGAGTGAAACTTTGATGGTGAAATGCATAACCTTTATGCTTATTCAATTATGTGTACTGAAAACAATTCTACAGGGAATTAATTACACTAATCTATTTGAAAGGTATGAAAGTTACGCATAAGGCAAAAGCAAAAGTCATCCTCATTTTTCTAATACTATGGGCTGATGATTACGTAATATTTCCCGCTGTATATATATAAAGGTAGAGAGGAATATTTTGAAATTCAATCAATATTTCGTTTATTTTAAAATTATTTTACAGACTAGTTTTGCTCTCCATTAATTTTGTCTAATTGCGCTTACATGCATATATATATGCACACGATGCGTTGATGTCTCTTTTAACTTGTTAAATATCCAGACCACAGATGAGCGGAAGAAAGAGAGAGGGAGAAGAACTTCAGTTCCAGATTGAAACATAGATCAGTATAAATTCTTTTTTTTTCAGTAAAAATTGAAAAGGCGATATCATTCAAACTAAGAATTAAGTGTATTTTCATTGGACACCAGTGACTAGTGTGACGTGTCTAGTCCTTTCTTTGGTGCAGACTGAATTCTATGAGTCAGGTTTGCAATATGGCCACCATTCCAGGTAGCTCGCCATCACGACGCATATTGATTTGATGACATTAGATAGTTCTAGGTAATGGGCAGGAAGTCTTGGACCTAGGTTTCGTGCTAGATTGCACTTACCAGTCAGTCAGCAAGGTGTGTCTGCAACCTTTACTGGGTACCCACTACAGTCCTACAGGAGGTCAATCGCGAGCCCGAATAGCTCGATGGGAGTAACGTGTCTGACTGCAGCACACTGGGTGACGCGGGTCCGAATCTCAGGTGGGATGTGAGTTCCTTCAACTAGCACGAAACCTAGGTCCAAGAATTCCTGCCGATTGCCTCCAACTATCTAATATCATTAAGAATTAAGTGTATCTGTCGTATTTCTACTAGCATTGTGGAGTAGTGTACTACTGACACGGTTTTGTGAGTAGTATATTGTGCGAGAATCTTTATTAACGAAGCGATGTGATTGGTTACACCAGTTAGCACTAGTGATTAAATTGTGTAACTCGCTTGGTGTTTACCAGTGAAATCTATTTTGAATGGTTGCTTGTACATCAAAAAAGCACAATGTGTTATAACGGTGTGGTATTATCTGCGAATCCTCGGGAATTTGAGCCACTAATAAACCAATCAAAAAAATATTCAATTAGGTTATCATGTCAGTGTATTCATCAGTCATGACTTTATGGCTAACAACGAAAGGTTGTCCATCCCAATACAATGGTGGTTATTTTTTGGGGGGGTTTCGAATTTTAAGACGAACCAATTGTCCAGGAAGCCTGTGGTCATATATTGTTAGTCGTTCAATATGATTCATCATGTGAGGCAGAACATACAACCTCAATGTCAATCATATTTGTTCACAACTGGGTTAACTGCCAAACTCAGCAGTTGGCTTCACTAAATTATTCATTCCACTAATTAATGACTGCATGATATAAGGACCAGTGTGTGTGTGTGTGTGTGTGGCCCTGGAGTCATATATGTGTATTGATCTTTATCATACTCAGTAGGGTCACTGTGAGTCAAGTGATATGTATGCGATGCTGTTCACTGTGGTGTTGTTGTTTTTTTTCTTATTTAGTATGGCTTAATAATTCAATAAATCTCAGTTGGAACTGTGAATGAAGAGAAACTCAATATGAAATGAGTTAGGAATAAGTATTACTGGTATACTAAACTTTGACATACATTCTTTGATAACTTAGTAGTAAATGGTGTGTTTGGGTGAAGATAATTCAGGTTATGTATAGTCACTGGTCAGACTGTGGGAAATGAGAAGACAGGGATATGCTGGACCGACGCGAAGAACCTAGAAGACCTGGATTTCGCGGATGATTTGTGTTTGATGTCACACAAAATCGAAGACTTACAAGCGAAAACCGCCAAACTGGTCAAAGAAGCAGCAAAGACAGGACTCCAGGTGATGAACATAGACAAGATGGAGGTTATGCAAATAACCAACCAACAACAACTACAGCAGCAGCAACATCCAGCACCAATCACCATCAACGGGAGGGATTTGAAAGAGGTTACTTCTTTCACTTATCTAGGGAGCATTGTCTCAACTACAGGAGGAACGGACGAGGATGTCAAATCGAGAATCGGGAAGGCGAGAAACACATTCATCAACCTGAAACCAATCTGGAAATCTTCGTCACTCAGCATTAACAACAAAATTCGGATTTTCAATACAAACGTCAAGTCAGTCAGTTCTTCTATACGGATGGATCAGAAACTTGGCGGGTCACAAAGAATATTTCCAACAGCCTGTTGCAGACCCTTATCAACAGTTGTCTTCGTTCAATACTGAAGATTAGATGGCCGGAAAGAATCACCAACAAGAAACTATGGGAACAAACAAAACAAGAACCAATCGCTCAACAAATTTTCCGGAGAAAGTGGAGATGGATTGGACACTCGCTGAGGAGGCTACTGGGTGACATCGCGCGTCAGGCCCTGGAGTGGAACCTGAAAGGGAAGCGGTGAGTGGGACGTTCAAAGGTGACATGGAGGAGATCGTGTGAAGAGGAATTGAAACAGCATGGACTAACATGGATGCAGGTGAAAAGTGCAGTAGAAGACAGAAGCAAGTGGAGACGTGCAGTTGAAGCCCTATGTTCCACTAGGAACACAAGGGAACAATAATAAAATAATAGTCACTGGTCGTATGTTGTGTGAAGCATATAAATCAGTTGCGGTGAACCAACAAAGAATCTATTGTTCAACAGTTATATAGAATTGAAGTGGAGATGGACTGCATATACATTGAGAAGGCTGCTAAGTGATATCCAGTGCTCTATGCCAGGCGCTTGATTGGGACGGGATTAGAAAACGATGTGGGTGACATGAAAAAAAATTGTGTGAAGAAGTAGTGGAGGCTTACTATCAATCGCGGAACCAACTGAAAATTGGGTGTGGAGGACAAGAGGAAATGGAGATGTGCTGTTTGCAGCCCTATGTCCTACTCGAAGTCCAGTGAGAATAATACTAATAATATTCAAGAATTAGTTTGTAGGGATTGTATTTGTTTCAGGTTAGAACGCGGAGTGATATCAATAACAGAGAACCATTGAAAACCAGCTGGAAGTACTGGACAGCTGCTGTTTCATCCTAGTTTTGGAGTCATTGGCATTACTCACCCACTGGGTCTCGAACACAGGAACTTTCGGTTATAAGGCAAGCTCATATACCACTGGGACCCGATTCGGTGGCCAACCCATGAATTCTAACTTCCAACAATTCGTGATTTTAGCACGACCACTAACCAATGTCATCGGTGGGAACTCCATCCTCACTCCCAACTGAATGGACCTCACTGGTCACGATTTCTCACTACAACTCCAGGCAACTTCGTCCTGCAATAAATCACTAGCGAACATCAGAATAACTTTCAAGAATTGGTTTGTAGGGATTTTACTTGTCTCTGGTTAGACCGCGGATTCATTGGTCATTGAATTCGGTCTCATTGGTTGAATGGTCTACACGCTTGCCTTGTAACTGGACGGTCCTGTGTTCGAACCTCAGTGGGTGAGTACTGCCGATGATTCCCAAGCTAGGTTCAGATGAAACAGCTGTGTGGTAGTACTCCCAGCTGGTTTTCAATGGTTCTCCAACTGATATCACTCCGTGGTCTCACCTGAAGTAATAATAATAATCAATATAGTGGTCAACATTACACGAAAGTTGTGTAACATCACAGATCATGCCCTCTACTTTCAACCCAGAACGAAGTAAACCGCAGATACCATAATGAATGATAATAAATCGTATGTTGAAAAAAAACCGTTTGCATTTTGGTTGGAGAGGATGTAGTAGAATCATAACAAAAAACGTTATTTAATAAGGTAATAACGATATCAGTCTGTTTCACGTAAAGTAAAATTGGCAGGGGAAAAATCAAAATTTAGCTGATTCGTCTAATTTCTACTAAAAAATTGGTGAGTTGTAAAACGGTTTTCTTGTCACAGTCTGCGCTGTCTATTGTCAACTTAGCGGCATGACAATTGCATATACGCCTATCAGATTCCATATACAATATTTGTTTTTACGGTAAATGATGAAGCGAATCGAATGGTTATACATAATAATGATATCTCTAATAATAATGTCATTAGCTTTCTGTGTTTTTATTTTTTTACGTCCCCAGTGGAACATATGGCGGCTTCAAGCTAGAGGCTTAAAGTTTCGGTAGCAATGGTATTTATTTTTACGGGATGGGGTTGCTAGCTTCATGCTCAACCTTCCTTCTCTACCAGTCTTATTACTGGCTTAGTGAAGTAAAGGAGTGCGTCCGTGGCCGGGGATCGAATATCGGACCACCTACGTGGTCGGGGAGCATTCTATCTCTGTGCCACCGACTTACAATATCAATAGCGGTAATAATAATTTAATCTGATGGTTAGCTTATGATTGATTATGTTGGAAAGTGTATCTCCCGTGTTAAGTGGTATAATAATGTGGTGAGTAATATTGAGATTAGGCGTCGATTGTTAAGTAAGGAGGGAAAATCAATCGATCAGGTTATAAGGGTGCATTGGGTTAAGCATTTTAAACCTCACTGCCTTCCTCTTCCAGATCAAAACTTGATCTCAATTCATTAAGTCTTTCACTATTGCTGTGTGCCACGTATCGAGGTGTTGACTGTCTGGTTTGGGGTCCTTGTGATCGTAACATCCAATGGTTGGAAACTATCGGTGATTATGGCTCAAAATCGTTTTAAATAGCACAGTTACACTGACTTTTTGTGAGCTTCCCGATCCATTGAATCTTCAGGTTCCTCCATCTATCTATCTATCCTTTCTCTGGTACATTTTTGCTCATTATGCTTCTTTGAGATTTCTTTTTCTTCTATTTCTTTTGCTCTTGTACTCTACATGGAGTGTAGCAACTTGAACTGAGTCACTTTTACGCAAAGTTTTATGTTGAAACTCAGTAAATCAGTTGATCAGAAGAAGTTTCCTTCTTTTTTGTTTTTGATAATAACCCTAATGTGTCTGACCACCTTTTTTGAAAAGTAATTCATCATCTAATTGTTTGTTTTCTTTGACAAATACTCCGTCTACTTCTTTTTTTTCTGTCTTTTATCTTCATGTAATATATAGGAATGTTATTTATCATAAACCTGAACCACGCTTTGTACCCCAGGGACAACAATTGGATAGGCAAATATTTAAAGCTGAAATGTTTCCGGATAAATATCGAGTTATTCATGAATTTGTCGAGGATATCTTCAATCAGCATATTACAGAAGCTTTAAAAGTAAGTCAGATTTTAACTGCGTAGCCACTGCTTCATTGCTTCTGTTGTATATATATATATATATATATATATATATATATACATATATACAACAATTTACCTGGTGCCGGGTTCAGGGTGACCAAGAATGCTCTGACCTCGGGTGGAGACTTATCATTGCACCTCGGTAGGTTGGATTTCGCGACGGACCCTAGTCAGCTGCTCTTGGGTGTGCAGTTTTCGTCCGTGGGGAGGCCTCACGGCCCTCCTTTTGTTTATGTGCGTCGGTGGTGCAACGGTTGAGATGCTCGGTAATCATGTACATGGTCCGGGATTCGATCCCCGGCCGACGCACACCTGATATCAATGGTCGGCCTGCAAAATTTGGGCTAATAGAAATTTTAAAAAATTTTATATATATATATATTCGTTCCTAGGCGTTCTGAGTGGAACATAGGTCCTTAAGCCTTAAAGTTTCACTGGTGATGATGTTTCTTTACTGGGTGAAGTTACTAGCTTCATTCCCAACCTCCCCCTTTTCCGTGCCTACTTATCTGCTAGGCGAGGTTTAAGAAGTGCGCCGGTCGGGAATTGAATCTAGAACCATGTGAGATGCTAATGGCCAGTATTCTATCATTGAGCTCTTGACGTACACAAACCAGGGAGTGCTGGACAAATGTTTCGACCCAACTCAGGACTCTTTTAGCAGTATGCATGCACAACTCCCACTGGGCCTAAAACCTTCAGGTTACAGGACGAGACTGGCAACTATATATATATATATATATATATATATATATATATGGCCAAATTTCCACTTTATCAATTTCATCTGTGAAATGCTTTGTATCATTGCACTACGTGTAAATTTGTTCATTATAGTCTTAGTTCAATGTCTAGGTTGCCTACGGTATACGTTTTCACAGTGGCTTTGTTGACTGACTTGTCATATATGATGGACAACATTTGATGTTGAGGTTTTTTATTCATTAATAGACAGAAAAGTCACTTTTCAGTGTCTGTTTTGCGTATTTGGACATTTTTGATTGTCAAATGGTGAAACAATTACTTACATTAATAAAATCTGAACATTGGAGATTACTTCCATATACCACACAGAGTGTAACAGTTTTATTTACTAGGTGACAAAGTTTTGAAGAAAATTTATTACTGTTCCTAATCAACTTCAAAACTTCCGTTTCATAGTTTTCTTTATTCCTTCCTTTTCGTCATAAGGGTAGTAGAATTTTCCAGATGTTCGGGTGTGTGGACAAGTGTTGAATCATTTCTGTTACACGTAAATAAGGCTTCCCTTATCAATTCCTCCCTACACCCTGTTATATCAGATTTTAGAACTGTCGTCTTATCCCATCCTATTGTATGGTTATGTGTAATTACATGTAGGGAGTGCTGTAGCCGTACTAATCTCCAGATTTCTAATGTTATTCGGGTCAACTAATCTAGATTTTGCTAGGTTTTTGTGACTCTTTAGTATGATTGACCCTGTTCTACCACTTTGACCTATCTATTTAACCTGACAATCATTGCAGGTAGAGTATAAGAAAAACTAAATTGTTTTGTTTACTTGGGTCCACGGATCTCATTTAACTGAAAACGCTTCTTTCTAATCACATATCTGGAAAATTCTACTACCCCTACGATGAATAGGAAGGAATAGAGAAAGTGATAAAATGAAATGGAACACGATTCACAAATGTTATCATGCTGCACTTTTATTCCTTCTGCAGTTCTGAAAGTGATATAAAATGATAAAAGCCCTTGTAGAAATGTTCTTGATCAGTAGTAGTAGGCTCGCCTGTCTTCATGATTATGTTTCTCAGTCAGCCTACTTCTCCTCCACATCTTATTTTATTATTATTGTTATTAATATTATTGCCTTGCTCATCTCTTGATGTCCATAGTTTGCCATGTTTGTGGTCAAAAGTAACCTGGTCTTCGTTTATCATCATGACCCTCGCAGAAATCGTGTACTGTCTTAACTATCCGCGCAATATGGTGTTGTGTTATGCAGAATCGATTGTAAAACAAAAGGTCCTTGAAGACTCTTAGTTATGCCAGTGTTAGTGAACGGCAGCTCATTTACTGATCACTTTTTGCCTAGATTCTCGTCGTGATACTATCTGTCTGTCGCTTCTTCATCATTAACGTCTTTGTCTGACCTTTATGAAGTAAACCTGAGCAGTTAAGTTCCAACGTTAATTTAGCTAGCTACGATATCAATTAAAGAATGTGGCGAATTCATAGAGGTTCAAATTTTCATTGAGTATTCAGTTCTGTCCTAAAGGCTGAAGCATGAGTGAAAGCTGGTCTCATAAACTTAGTGTCTCCGGTGATGGTTGGTAAAAATAGTCTCAAAATTTCAGAAAAATGACTGTCGAGTGATCTCTAATCCTTAACGAATTATTGATTTGCAAGATTAACATTTGGATTAATTAGCGATCTCAACAAACACAAAACTTGGGCTCATTAAGTGCTACTGCTCTCTCTGTCACGCACACATAACATTCTATGGGCAGCACTTTGATTGCATTCAAGTTGGAACGTATTTATCCATTGGTTTGTGTACTTTAAAATAAGGGGCGCTGTTTTGTCAGCGTGCTGATCAATGGTTTGGATTACAGTCCGATCTTAATTTTCTTTCTGTATTCCTGATGCACTTGTGTGTGTCCGTGGTGCAGTGGCAGAGTGCTTGACAGTGACGCATCCTGTTCGGGGTTCGATCTCCGGTCGACGCACTCCTAAATCTCTCTATACCGGTAATCAGAACAGTAAAGAAGGAAGGTTGGGCACACGGCTAACAACCTCACTTTGTAAAAATAGACACCAATGCTACTGAAACTTCAAAGCTCTATCTGGAAGCCCTATATATTCCACTAGGATTGCAAAGGAATAAAAAACATACATCTAATTGTGGGTTTGCAGAATAACTCTTAAGCATTAATAATAATAATAATAATAATAATAATAATAATAATAATAATAATAATAATAATAATAATAATGGAAAGATCAATAAACAAGGATGAATTTTGTGTGCTTTCTCAGTGGTTTTACGCCTTCTATAATAAGTACCTAACCATCTCTAGCCTAATCGTCTAATGATCATTATGAACGAATATAGGGTTTTATTTTTGCATAAATTGTATTTTCCCCTAATTTGTTCACCATAGACGCTATGGTTTTTCATCTTGTGTTTATGTGTGTGTGATAGAGAGAAAGAGAGAAAACAAGTAGCCTTGCCGCCTCAATGTTAGATAAATTCACCTTAATATGTCTATTTTATTGTAAAATCAAAATAACGAATGATGATTCACAAATTCGAATTACATACTTTTTATTCTGTTACCTTAGTTGCACTCCATGAAAACATCTTGGGTGTGTGTGTATGTTTCCACCTATATGTTGTTATCATGTTATCCTAACGTAAGCATTCAAGTCGATTTGTTTCTGTATGTATTTCTGTATGCCTGTTACAAAGTATAAGATGACAGCTTTTCCTAATGGTTATAAATGGCCTAATTATTTGGCAGTTGGGAATTGTTTATCCCTGCAATGTTATGTGTTTGTGCGCTGGAGAGGTTTTATTATTATTATTAATTGTTTCCTTCGGTCCCGAGTGGAACATAGTGCTTCAACGGCACATCTGCCTTTCTCTCTGTTCTCTGCAGTCTTTTTTAGCTGGTTCCACGATTGCTTATAAGCTTTCATCTCCTCCTGACACAGTGCTCACCGTATAATCCTTGGCTACCCGCGGAACTCATCGTTCCCCGTTCGACTTCCACTCGAGATATGGCCTGCTGTTCAGTGTGATTCAATGGTCTCATCAGAGTGTGTCCGATCCATGTCTATTTTCTACATATTTTTTGACCTATAGGTTCTTGTTTAAGTTTGATTGGACACGAGTTAGCAATTAGTGTAAAGTGTATGGTCCACTGTTTGGTGCACACTGAATTCTATCAGTGAAGTTTGCAATGTAGCCACCATTCTAGATGGCTCGCCATCACGGTGCACTTTGAATTGTTGATGGAGGCAGTCGGCCACAGAAAGCCTTGGACCTAGGTTTTGTGCTAGATGGCACTTACCAGTCAGTCAGCAAGGTGTATCTGCAACCTTGAAGAAACTCATATCCCTTATGGCTAGCCATCTAGAATGATGGTCACATTGCAAACGTGACTGATAGAATTCAGTCTGCACCGAAGAAAGGACTAGACACATTACACTAGTCACTGACTAGTGTCCAATCAAAAAAATGCAATACTGTCTTACAGGGGGTCAATCGTTAGCCCGAATAGCTCGATGGTGGTAACGTCTCTGACTGCAGCACTGGGTGACGTGGGTTTGAATCTCAGATGGGACATGAGTTCCTTCAAGGGTGCAGATACGCCTTACTGACTGACTGGTGAGTTCAAACTAAAACGAAACCCAGGTCCAAGGCTTCCTGTCGATTGCCTCCAACCATCTAATATCATCAGGTTCTTGGTTTGTTTGTTCTCGGAATTTCTTGTTGATAATTCAATATGGTGGGAAGGCAGCTGTCGGTAAAAGTCTGCAGTGGCCTGTTGGAATTACTTTTTGTGTTGGACGCTTAGTGCAAGTTTCTGTCCCATGCAGAAGAACTAACTGACTGACTTAACGTTTGCGTGGGAAATCAGAAATCTTGTTGTTTACACGGAGTGCAGTATATTTCCAAACTGATTTGAAGAGTGAAGAAAATTTATCTTGCCTTTCCGATCCTGGTTTTGATATCGTCATCCTTGGTATCACCTGTAGTTGAAAGGATACCGCCTAGATAAGTGAAGGAAGTGACGTCTGACAAATTTCTTCCATTGGTAGTTATTGGGCCCTGAAGAGGGAGGGAGAAAGAAATATAACTGGATATTTCGACTGCTTGATGTTTCGAATAAATCCAATCTGATATACGATTCACTTCTCTAAACATTGTGCTTTAACATAGTTTTCCTTAGTTTGTTTTTGCATCTGTCGACGCTGAGGGTGGTACT